ACAATAAAATGGAAATTAATTATTTAAAAATCATACATTGTATTTTTCTGGATTTTTGTTTTAGATTCCATCACTCACAGTTGAAGAGTACCTATGATAAAAATTACAGTCATCTACAAGCTTTGCAAGTGGGAAAACCTGAAAAATCAACAGTGTGTCAAATACTTGTTCTCCCCACTGTACGTCACCAATCGGACAACATTTTGACACATACAACTTAACTCATCATTAACTATAAGATATTTATCTTGCACAACAAAAAAATATGTACATATATTTTTAAATATGTTTATTTTGTTATTTCATTTTTATTTAATTTTGTTAAGTCTTCAATGTAAAATGGTGTGTGGTTTCAGTGGGGGTGTAGTGCTCTAGTGCCCTCTACAGACGAGCCGCCACTGGTCAGTCACATAATTACACTCAAGTTGAACAGTTAGTAGTCAAATCTCTACAAACTGAGAAGGATCCCTGAGCTATAAGTTCCAAAGGAGGCTTGGTTTTCTTTCATGTTTGTCAATTAGTATCAAGAGAACTCTTTATGCTTATTGGCACACCTAATTAAATAAACTTTTTTCTTCTTCTTTCTGCCAGTACTTGCCATGGAGAGACAGCAGATGTACCGGTAATCTATTGCTGTGAAGTCTGCCAGCAGACGTTTGCTAACTGCAAGAACCTGAAGCTCCACGTAAAATACGTTCACAGCACTGAGAGACTTTTTGAGTGTGACATTTGTGCAAAGACCTTTAAACGAAAGAATGATGTCACCCACCATAAGAGACAGGTGAGGTGTAAATCTTTGCATGCTTCCCTTTTTGTTTTCTCAAAGTCATATGGTTGGGGAATTTTCTCAGAGAAATTTAAAGCATAAATTTGTCCCAGGTGCATGAACAAAAACAGCAATACATGTGCCCTGAGTGTGGAAAGACGCTCAGCTCCAAAGCTACATTGTTGGTGCATGAGAGGACGCACACGGGCATCAAACCCTACGAGTGCACCAAGTGTCAGGCCAGATTCACCCAGAAGTCTGCCCTCAATAGGCATCAAAGGTAAACTGTTCTTTGTCACTTGAACCTGCTGCTTTGTCACAAAATAAGTTGAACATTTCTTCCTATGCCTTTTTCTTAAGCCTTAAAACAAATGGTAGTATTGTGAGGGGAAAGCTTAAGGATATTACTGGTAATTATTTTACCCCTTGGAGATATTTTAATTTCAGCAAGCTACAAAATAATAACTTTTTATTTACAGTCAAACAGTTGTAGACATTTATTTAACATTAATATACAAACAGGATTCCAAAAAAGTTGGGACACTAAACAAATTGTGAATAAAAACTGAATGCAATGATGTTGAGATGGCAAATGTCAATATTTTATTCGTAATATAACATAGATGACAGATCAAAAGTTTAATCTGAGTAAATGTAACATTTTAAAGGAAAAATATGTTGATTCAAGATTTCAGTGCCAACAAATCCCAAAAAAGTTGGGACAAGTAGCAATAAGTGGCTGTAAAAAGGAAATTGAGCGTATAACGAACAGCTGGAAGACCAATTAACACTAACTAGGTCAATTGACAACATGATTGGGTATAAAAAGAGCTTCTCAGAGTGTCAGTGTCTCTCAGAAGCCAAGATGGTAAGAGGATCACCAATTCCACCATTGTTGCGCAGAAAGATAGTGCAGCAATACCAGAATGGTGTTACCCAGCGTAAAATAGCAAAGACTTTTAAGTTATCATCATCAACCGTGCATCATCAACATCATCAAAAGATTCAGAGAATCTGAAACAATCGCTGTGCGTAAGGGTCAAGGCCGTAAAACTCTACTGGATGCTCGTGATCTCCAGGCCCTTAAACGTCACTGCACCTCAAACAGGAATGCCACTGTCAAGGAAATAACAGAATGGGCTCAGGAATACTTCCAGAAAGCATTGTCAGTGAACACAATCCACCATGCCATCCATCGTTGCCAGCTGAAACTCTACAGTGCAAAGAGGAAGCCATTTCTAAGCAAGCTCCACAAGCTCAGACGTTTGCACTGGGCCAGGGGTCATTTAAAATGGAGTGTGGCAAAATGGAAGACTGTTCTGTGGTCAGATGAGTCACGATTTGGAATTCTTTATGGAACACTGGGACGCCATGTCATCCGGACCAGAGAGGACAAGGATAGCCCAAGTTGTTATCAACGCTCCGTTCAGAAGCCTGCATCACTGATGGTATGGGGTTGCATGAGCGTTTGTGGCATGGGCAGCTTGCATGTCTGGAAAGGCACCATTAATGCAGAGAACTATGTTCAGGTTCTAGAACAACATATGCTCCCATCTAGACGTCATCTCTTTCAGGATAGAACCTGCATTTTTCAACACGATAATGCCAGACCACATTCTGCAGCAATCACAACATCATGGCTACGTAGGAGAAGGATCCGGGTACTGAAATGGCCAGCCTGCAGTCCAGATCTTTCACCTATAGAGAACATTTGGTGCATCATAAAGAGGAAGGTGTGACAAAAAAGGCCCAAGCCGATTGAACAGTTAGAGGCCTGTATTAGACATGAATGGGAGAGCATTCCTATTTCTAAACTTGAGAAACTGGTCTCCTCTGACCCCAGACGTCTGTTGAGTGTTGTAAGAAGAAGGGGGATGCCACAGTGGTAAAAATGGACTTGTCCCAACTTTTTTGGGATTTTTTGACGCCATGAAATTTGGAAACAACATATTTTTCCCTTAAAATGATACATTCTCTCAGTTTAAACTTTTGATCTGTGATTTGTGTTCTATTCTGAATAAAATATTAGATGTTGGCACCTCCACATCATTACATTCAGTTTTTAGTCACAATTTGTTTAGTGTCCCAACATTTTTGGAATCCGGTTTGTAATATAATATATATAAAGTGTATCTTGATGAGTGACATAGATGAGAGCTAAATATCTGTGTTTTATCCTGTATAGGACACACACCGGAGAGAGACCGTTTGCATGTAATGAATGTGATGCCCGCTTCACCGAGAAGCGCAAGTTGGCCTATCACAAGAGAGCACACTCAGGTTAAAGAGATTTTAGTGTTTTTTGATGAGGATGGTAAAAATTTGTATTTGTTACATTTCTTCTAGCTTTAGCACAATCAAATAAATAAATACTGAAATATAAGAAGGTATCTCTATCTACTAAGCATTAAACTTTTTTTATTTTTTCATTTCCTTTTAGGATTAAAGCCCTACATGTGTGATGCCTGTGGGAAAAAATTTGCATCTAAAGGATACATTAAACACCACTTAAACGTCCACACTGGCTCCAAGCCTTTTAAGTGTGACACTTGTGAAAGAAGCTTTGGTCAGAGGAACTCCCTCAGAGAGCATTTAAAACTGCACACAGGTAAGACATTTACATTTATATGTTTGCATGTACTTTTAAGTTATTGACTTCCTCCTGGTAACAATAAAACGAATGTGTTCTGTAGGTGAGCGTCCGTACAAATGTACAGTATGTGGTAAACAGTTCACTCAGCTCGGCGCTCTCCAGCGGCACCAACGGATCCACACGGGAGAGAAACCTTTCATGTGTGCTCTCTGTAAACGAACTTTTACTGACCAGTCCACCTTTCGCAGGCACACTTTGGTGAGTTGGTGCTTCTTCCTCTAGTACTACAACATTGAACGGTATTTTGTACTCTAAGCAGCACGATGGCACAGTTGGTAGAGCTGCCACCTCTCAGTGAGCAGGTCACCTACGTTCAAATCCCAGCCGGGAGCCTTTCTGGGTGGAGTTTGTATGTTCTCTCCGTGCATGTGCGGGTTTTCTCTGGGTATTCCAGTTCCCTCCCACACCTGTCACGATAACAAATTTTGCTGGGCAATTAATTGTCTCAGAAATTATTGCGATAAACAATAATATTGTTTGAAATTTGACAATAATTACTAATTATTGTCAAATTTAAGAATAAACGTTTGTTAATTTGTTTTGTTTGTAGTGCCTTTTTTCGACCACCAGATGGCAGTATAAGACTGAACAGAAGGATGGATATTGAGGGAGCAAACAGAATGTCTCTAAGAAAAATGGGAGGGAGGCCCGTTGATGAACACGGGTTGTCTCTCTTCCGTTCTCAAAATGGCAAACGCTTGGTGTGGTTTGAGCTCTTTAGCATGGAATTTTTCACACAAAGCTTTTAATAAAAAATCATTAAACAAGTTCTCTGCTTCTTTTTGCAGAGAAAAACTTTTTACACTAAGGCACGGGTTGCAACTGTGAATTTTGGAGCTTCGACAAGACGGAGGTTTTGTTCCCGTGGTCGGCCATCTTAGCTTAGCTTGTAGCTTAGCATCTCGGCTTAGCTGCGTTTAACGATCCAAAAACACGATTTTGGACTGTTAAAATGGATTTTAAAGAGAAAAGAGAAAGGGAGGAGTCAGTGAAGAGCACTGGAGTTGAGCCTTTTGTCATCTAGTGTCTTCAGTAGAAAGAGAGAGACGCAAAGAAACGATAAAGCCGATAAATGAAGGTGAAGTCAAAAATTTTCATTTATCATTCAATTTATTGACTTATTGTTTAATGAGACAGGCCTACTCCCACAGACCAAAAACATGCATGTTAGGCTAATTGGAAAATTTAAATTGTCGCTAGGTGGGGATGGATGGATGGATGGAGTGAGTGAGTGAGTGAGGTAGATGTAGTACACCTTTCAAAGAAGGGAACAATATTTTTGCCATTACTGCTTTGACATAGTGAATACTAGTGCATGTTTATAATTAGCTAATTGCACATCAAGTCAGTTGTTGTTAAAATGACACCATATTGTTTAAATTTTAGGTTCATGACATAGAAGTTCCATGGAAGACCTACTTGGTGATGCTGAAGGGAAATATCGAGGAAAAGAAGCCAAAGTCTCCCACTGAGGAAAATGCAGAACAAGCAAAACCAGGGAAGAAAACTAGCAGAAGTCCAAGTGGTGAGAGCTCTGCTCCTGCTGTTTCTGCTCCAGCTGTTTCTGCTCCAGCTGTTTCTACTCCAGCTGTTTCTACTCCTGCTACCATTTCTGCTCGTGGTGCTGGTACTACCCAAATTGAGACAACTGTGGTTCCAACTGAGTCGGTCACTCTCCCATCCGTCTGGACCAGTCAATGAGCTGTTGCTCTGGTCAGCCATGGTGCTCTTGGTGATATCACCGTCATCCACACAGAAGTTCCAGCAGGGACACAGTTCCAGCCCATAATAGCCACTAACAACTAGGGCTGAATGATTTTGGAAAATATTCTAATTGCATTTTTTTTTTTTACCTCAATATGCGATTGCGATTTAATATGCGATTATTTATCAATGTCTTCTTCTCATGTATTTTTCAACGAACACAAGCAATAAGTTAATCTGTTTCATTTGCAAATAACTCCACTGTTTTAAGCTTCGCTGTAACTCCGTTTCTGCATATTTTGTGTAGCATGAAGCTGCACTGCTCTAACTATGACCTCTGACCCTTATTCATCTTCCAGACTCACCATGAATCGTGATTTTCAAAGTCACATTTGACTTCAATAATGTCTGATGTTTTTCCACACATTTCCTGTCCTTGGACACAGAGTCAGCTACAGTCTGACTAATGTTTATCTTATTTTTTCCTATGTTTCTAAGAAAGAAAAACAAATCATTAATGAAGTTTGTTTTATTTGATTAACAAGTGTGAACATGAATAATTTTGATTGTTGTTTTCAATCATTATAATGAAATTGTGAAATATTACAATGTGAATAACATATTTCTGTGTCCTGTTTTTCAGCAAGTGATTATTCCTTCAGAGACACCTGTGAAAAAGTAGTCTTTGAGCTGGAAGCTGTTTTCTTCAGAGGGGTGCCACAATGTTCCCTAGTCAGTCAAAACAATCTTCTCAGAGCTGTTGTTTTGCACAAAGTCGCTTTGTGTAAAAAGCAGTTCGCCTTGGACCCCCGAGCTGAGCAGTTCGTCTCCGGCCCCGAACCGGAAGAAGGTTCATCTTTGGACCCGATCCTAGAGGTCGTGCCAAGGTCCACTCGTTCAACTCCTGAGCAGATAAACATGTCGCTCAAATTACAATTGTTAGAGGTTTAACTAACTGCAGAAGATGAAGCTTTTTCTCACTGCAAGACTCACGTTCTCGGCTGAAGGTTGCGATGGACGGCACCTTCTCATCAGCTGTTGCCCTCACAGACCCCTGAAGCTGTCACAGTGACGGTCAGCTACCTTGGGCAGTTCCCGGCGAGTCGTCCTCATGGTGTATCCGATCCACCAGAGAACCCCAGAAAGATGAGTGATGCCGTCAACACTGACCCGGTAAGGAGCAGAAACTGGTGACATGATGCCTTGGTCTGGTTATGCTATTTTAAGCTGATGCAACTTGGTAAACATTTCCTGGCTTGCAGTGACGATAAATGACTTTATCTGATCAGATTAAATAACTTCTTTCAACCAAAATCCAAAGTAAACTATTTCTTAAAATAGTGAAACTTTGTCTAAATTCATGCGCGTATAAAACTGAAATAATTCCTGCTCAAAGAGTCAATTTAGCCTTAGATAAGAGAATTAAGCCTTGATTGGTTCATTATAATTATTTGTTTATTATTGTTGTTGATTTTTAGTTTGATTATTTTTGTAATAAAATTTCAAAGACAACTTTGGTCTCATACGGATGAATATTAATTTGTTCAGGTATAGAACTCCCTGTAATTAACGGATTCTACTTCAGTGACTGATTCTGATCATTAAAGGGTGAATATATTAAGTTGTTGTTGGTCAGTAAACTGACTAGCTGGTGCCCAACTTTAACAAGAGTTAATTAAATAAAATAAATGTAGTGAAGGGGAGTGGAGAAAGTGTCACCCTTCTTCCTCCATCACATATCCTTCACATTGCTACATTTGTGTAGCTCCGGGATAGCAACTTGTCTAAAATGTGTGCGAGGGCATTATGTACCGCTCATCCACTGTGTTTACCAAAGCCGTAAACCCTTGCTCTTGTCAAGGGCAAACACATTTCTCCTCCTCTCCCTCGCTGCTTTGCTTTGCTCCTTCCTGTCTGTGAAACTGCTTAGAACCTCTTCTACAAATATTCTGAATCATAATTCTGCTATGGATTTGGTCAGTTGGTCCCTCAACACAACTGATATCATTTCTTTGAAGAGAAGACGGGCTTTAGACGAGCCGATTTGCCCTGCTGGCACGCATGCAGCTGTTTATCTCATCGACTTGGAAGACTTGATATGTCTATCTCTACTGTCCTTCGAGGATGTTAAAGACACAATTGGATTTATGACAACTGGTTTCTTGCTTTTTGGATTCGGCTGGTTCCTGGTTTACCAACATTCAAGGAAGTCGTCGGCAGCAAATTTGTACCTGGTCAGGCTGCCTGCCTTTATATGATGGTTTGGTTCATGCCTCGAGCTGCCAGACACAAATGCTTTTGGCAGGATGTATCATATCTCGGGGATTAAGCTCAGGCACGGTCCATTGGTGTGACCATTTAATATGGATGTTTCGGAACCGAGTGGACCGAATCAACTGGATGTTGATAAAAGTGATGGATAGCATAAGACAGCAGATGTTCCCTTAGGTGAACAAAAAAAAAAAACAACACAGTTCAAGTAACAGATTGATGTATTCCTAACTTGTTTTTATTAATGCAATAAAAAGACAAGTATAATTGTCTAATTATTGTGAGGCAACACGCACGCAGCACATCTTGTTTTATAATGTAACACAACATCATGTTCAAGTCTGAGGAACAGCTTCTACCCTGAAGCTGTTAGACTCATGAATCCCTAATCAGGATTATCACTGTGAAAAAAAATCACTGTAATGCCACTTGATTGTTATGTTCTGCTGACTATCCATGTTGCTGATCTTATGCTGCTGATTATTTGATCTATTATTTCATGCTGCTGTGTTCATTCGCTGAACAGTTTCGCCCCCCCATCTCTCTGATCTGCTACAACCGTATGTCCCACCACGCCCCCTGAGGTCAGCGGACCAGTTGCTCCTCACAGTTCCAGGAACTCATCTTAAGCGCAGAGGTGACAGGGCCTTCTCTGTAGCAGGACCAAGACTTTGGAACGAGTTACCTCTGCTTGTCAGACAGGCCCCCTCCCTCTCAGTTTTCAAATCCTGTTTAAAAACTCACTACTATTCAGTAGCTTTCAACACCAGAGGATCTGTGTTTTGAACCTGTACGCTCCACACTGGTTTGTCGTCATATTTATTATCTGCATCGTTTTTATGTCTAATTTTGATTTACTTCATTTTGTATATTGCTTTGTGTGTTGTCTGTTGTTCTGTCTGTACAGCACTTTGGTTGGCCTTTTAGCTGTTTTAAGTGCTCTATAAATAAAATTGTATGGTATTCGTCCTCATCTTCTCACACAGACTCATGTTCGTGCTGCTGTTGTTCAGCGTATTGTTTTTGTACTATTAGTGCTTAGTGTATTCTTAGTTTAGCATATTTTCATCTTATTACTGTTTTTCTTTACAATTTATACTTTTGTTGGATGTAACTGGGATCCTGTTTACACAGTTTTGTTCCACCACATGTACCACATGTCGTGTGAATGACAAATAAAGAAACTTTGACTTTGATGTCTAGTTACAGATTTCTTATGGCATAAAATGAATAATTTTAGAGCCAAATGTCAATACTTTCATGGTCATGCTTGTTTAGAGCAGCTTCTTGCATGTATATTCCTGCTGCCAGATTCTGTTCATGATGCTGAAGCAAAGATATTCATGATCTGTCAGATATTTAAGATTCACATCTGTCCATCTGATTTTTCTGATGTAACACTCTAATTAAAGAATGTACAAAATTCAACTTCTGGCTAATGGCGATGAAGTGCGAGTTGTTTTGATGCGCTCCTGCAGAATTGGCTCTTTTTTTTAATATTATTGGGCACTTTTTCCTCTATTTTGACCTCAAGTGATTTCAAAGTCATTTTTACATAACATACCTTTTTTTCTGGTCACTAAAATGCCACCAAAGTCGATTAAATGAG